AAACTCACAGACCGTGTGCTGTGTGGATTAGATAACCATAATATAAAGATCTTCCACTCCTATGGCTGTAGAGTTGGGTGACGTGGGCGCTGAGTATGGTGGGCGCAGTGCACGCAAGCCTTGGCGGCCACAGTGCAAACAGCAGCTTCTTGTCTCTGGCGGGAAGCACTGAGGAAGGGCAGATGGCACTGGCCTTCGGATCCCTGAGTTCAGTGCACGGAAGTCCCATAGTCCTGTTATCCCACCACGGCTTGGCTGAAGCTGCTGTGTAGTGGTTGGCTGGTGGATGAGTGTGGTCTGTGCCCAAATGAATGCAGCCTGGCCTCAACTGGCCAGAGCCTTAAAGGGCTCTAAAAAGACCGCAGTTTGGGCGCCAAGTGATGGGCATGATCGACCGCACTCAGAATTAACCAGACCAGCTCAAAAATAAGTTATATAATTTAATAATTGGAAAACAGAGAAAACTCACATGACTGGGATCCAGTGAGCACATGGGAAGCCGGGAAAGAGGGAGAGACAAGGGGCAGGCACCTGGATTCCCAGGTCCTTGTTCCTTGGCCCCAGGTGACCACACCCTAGCCAAATGTAATTGGCTGAGATTCTCCATCAGAACAGTCTTCTTAAATAGAATAAAACCAGGGTATTGTGCCTCAAATGGAGGTTTGTCTCTGGCCTTCCAGATCCCAAATAATTACTCTGAGGCTTAGTATTAATTACAAACTGTTTAGCCTATTAGCTCAGGCTTATTATTAACTAGCTCTTACCACTTAAATTAATCCATTTCTATTACTTTATATATAGCTATATGGCTGTGACATTACCTTATATCTCGCTTCTGTGGAAGCTGCTTTCATCTCTCAGACTCCACCTTCGTTTTTCCCTGTATCTTTGCTTGAATTTACACCTGACTCCATTGTGCCTGCCATCTTTATGAACCAATGGTAATAAAATGTTTTCACAACATAAAGAAATACATCCCACACCAAATCCTTAACAAGATATTTATCAAATTCAGCTTCCTAAGCATACAATTTTACAGGTGTGGTCTTGTGATCCTAGAGGCCTTTACTTGAATGTTGCATTTGCATCATACTCATGACACTGATTTTTGTGGACATGCAGAATGCGATGTTACAGAGTCAGAGAAACTTATGCCCAGATTTCACAGGAAGCCCTAGGAGGTCATACAATGTAGTTGATACCAGATCTCCTTTCAACAGTTCCAAGAGGGGGATTAATCCAAAGAAAACTAGGAAATGATTAATGCTAGGAACTTGGAATGTCTGACAAAAATAGTTGTAGGCCATGTGAGAAAAATCAGTCATAGAAGAGGACATATTTGTGTGTTTATGAAATTGGAGGCATGAAGGCAAACCAACCACATTGTAAAGAAAGGGATAGTCAGGCCTCTAAGATCCTCCTGCAGCCCTTTCCTCACACAAGTCGAACAACCATCCTTATACCAAATTTTCTTTACTACAGGTAAGAAAAGCAGGTGAGAAGCTATGTTCTCTGGTTTTAGTGAATTAATAAAAACACATTGAACACATTCTAAGAAATAAAAATGTCAGATATGCAGGCAATCACTGTCAAGAACGACTAAAAATCTAAGGAGCAGAGAAATGCTCATGTTGTTTCTTCTCCAAAAACACACAGTTCATCTGAGATACAATTGGTACATGTGTGAAATAAAAGTAATTCCTGCCAACTCTGGTTTTAAGTCTACTACCAGGTCTGATTTAAAAAACAAAAACAAACAAACAAAAAAATCACTTCCATAGATATCCATGGCATCTGTGACCCTTACCTGCAGTGCAACCTAATACTGAAACTGCTCCTGAAACTATAATAGACTATAAGCCAAAGGTCTGTCATTACTGCTCCTCCCTAGCTTTCACAGTATATGGTAGAGGGAAGAAAGTGTCCTCTGCCTAATGGCAAACACAGCATGGTTTATTTGTTGCATTGAAGGTTTATTTGTAGCTCAGTATTGGGTTTACCAAGTAGAGACTACTATACCCAGGTCATATCTTTTAAAAAGAACATTAGGCTGGTACCCTCTTTCCTTTTTGGGTTGCATTATTTTTAGGTTTCTGAAGTATTAACTTTTTCACTATGCAGGTTTCTGAACTTCTGGTTCTTAGATTCAACCAAGGTTAGCATCAGCATCATAGACTAAGAGACTGCCTTCATTAAGACTATTACAACCTTGCTCAGCATATTTTTTTAAAGAAGATTCCACTGACGGCAGCATACAGTACTAGGCAGAATATTTTGAACAGGCAATCATAGTCAGGAAGGTCAAACTGAGGACAGGGCAAATGCTGAAACCTCCCACTGTGAACTAAAATCAGTGGTTTAGCTTTTAGAGCAGTCTGAGAGTCAAGGGAGCCACAGAGTCATATTTTATGAACATTTACTCCAGCCATTTGAACTAGAGATGGCTGAAGTCCCTCACTGGTGTGGGGGTTGTTTATTCAGAAAGCAACACAGTGTTGTGATCCGTGTAGCTACAGGATGGTATAGCAACCTAGAGGTAGCTGTGTCCAGGTGATTGCTTCCAGAGCAGAGGAGAAATTTGCAATGCTGCAATACAAGTTACTGGAGTCTGTGAATAAAGACTGTGGACGCACTCCAGCCCCTGCGTGTGGCAAGGATAGACTGTGTAGCTTACTGAAATAACTCCCTGTCCTTGTCCAAGTATAGATTAGTGCAAACCTAGATTTGAGAAGTTTACTGCTGCTGAAATAATGACTATAAAGCCACTTACTCCCTATAATCTGAATTTAGATTGCCATCTAGTGACATCCTAGAAGTGTCGGAAACACAGAAAGGAGTATCTGGGTTGACTTTCATAAAGTACGGTCATGAAGAAAATCAGACCAGGAAGATGAAATAAGGAGAGGGGGATGAGAGAGAGAGAGAGAGAAAGAGAGAGAGAGAGAGAGAGAGAGAGAGAGAGAGAGAGAGAGAAAGAGAGAGAGAGAGAAAGAGAGAGAGAGCACTAATCAAGCTAAACCAAAGAGAGAAAGAAACAAGAGGAAATGTTGGATGCCTTTGAAGAGTCAGAGGTGTGAATCAGTGGTAAGATTCTTAAGAGAATCAGTTTGCAACCATATTCATGTATGAAATTTGATTCAATCAATGAAATTATAAGGATCATGGTTTTGCATACTATATTTTTCCTTTTTTCTTTAAAGTTATGAGAGTATTAATAATTAATATTATGAAAATGACTTATGCATTTTTTTGTACTGTAGAATGCAGAGAAACTGAAAAGTAACCCAAGTATTTCAGATGAAACTTGACTTATGGGTAAAGGGGGAAGAGAAGCTTACCATAGCACCCACAAAAAAGAGTCATGGATGCTCTGATTTTGTAATCATAGCCCTCACCATCCGTGAGAAAAAGAGACAACACAAAAAAGAAATTGCATGCTGGTTATTTATTGTGAAGCTGAAGTTGTGCTTCAAATGGTATGCTCTCTTTCATTTGTATATAAATGACATGGGCTCTTGGTGTGTGGCATGGGTCGATCTTGAATTTAGTCTTGAGTGTTGGGATAAAAAATGCACAGCACCATCCACAGCTTGAGTGACATAACTTTTGAATGTTATATTTTCATTTCCTGTGTACAAACAAAAATCCAACAGTAAAAGATCATAGACTGTCATATGATCATATGGATTGTCATAGCTGAAGGTTTTTTACTCTTGCTACAGTCATTAACAAGAATAACTTGAAGCCTGACTTTATGGCTTTTTCTCTCCTTTCTTCCTCTTTTTTCCTAACAGTGTTTTATTCATTCTTGTTAGGCACCTAGCACATTATGTTTTTTAAAATGTAACTTATATCATGAGTAAATGAAAGCTATTCTTAGTTAATTTGTCTTTTAGCAGTTACTGAAAATGAAAAGTGACATATTGAAAGTGTATCTAAAGTAAATACAACAGTGACATTGAGAGGCATACAAACATCTATGAACACGGCTTAATCAAATTATTATGGCAGGACTGCATAATGGAGGATGTACACTTATGAAAATACTGAAGGTGAAATAGAAAGAAAGAGGTTGACAAGAATAGAAATCATGAATTAGAGAGAAAAAGAATAGAGTTGGGAAGGGACACAAATGAAAGCAGAAAATTACTGGTAAGAGTGTAATATTCAATTAACTGATATGGAAGTTTATAAAGAAATATATTGGTTAAAATGGGCAGAAAGTGTTTTTACCTGTAATTTATAAGGAAAACTGGTGTTTTAACATTTCCAAGATGGTTATCAAAAAAGTCATTCCAAAGAAGGTTTTTGGTGAGGGATATGGTGAAATTTAAAATAAGACAGACATTTTAAATTTAGTAGCAGCTCATTCTTTGCTCTTAGATTAATATTTTATTTTATTTTCAGTTTGAAAGTGGTTCAATGAACCAAGTAAGCATTTCGAAGTCTAGAAGATACATAGAAAAATAGACTTCAGTGTCATATACCAGGGACATTGAACCTGAGTACCATTGTTTGAATCTACAGGTTGTCAGGTAGAAGCATGAGATGGGAAGTCCTTGGAGCTGAGGAAGAAGGCAGAGGCCTCAGAGGAGTCAGAAACCCCAAACCAATGCAATAAAAGAAATGCTATTACTGGAGAAAAAAACACAATGAAGCAGAACTCCAGAAAACTCAAAATTGGATGAACTTTTAAAAAGAAAAGACAATATTGCAGTAAAAACACTTAGCAATTTGTATACTGTGGCCATGTAATTTCACCCGTTCCCAGTTCACTTTGGAACTCTATAGATGTGAAAAGTGTAGGAACTAAAATGTTTGCTTATGAATAAAGCATAATTCTAAGGGAGACTAAATTCAGCTTAGCAAAGTAGTTGGATCTGTGCCTTTGTCACTTAGCATATTGGAAGATAGTGGTGCTTCTATGGTTGAAATTATTGGGGTTGTATCTAATTACCTCTCATCATGGTGCGCTCTGTCAACAGTCAGGACAAAAGTAATCAGTTACTCCAGTATGATTGCCTCCATACTGGGGTGGTCTGTGTCTGGTTGCCTATGTCAGGGAGAGGAGGCCGAGGCTCTGTCTGGTTGCCTAGGTCAGGGAGAGGAGGCCGAGGCTCTGTCTGGTTGCCTAGGTCAGGGTGAGGAGGGCGAGGCTGTGTCTGGTTGCCTAGGTCAGGGAAAGGAGGGCGAGGCTGGGTCTGGTTGCCTAGGTCAGGGCGAGGAGGGCGAGGTTGGGTCTGGTTGCCTAGGTCAGGGAGAGGAGGTCTAGGTTGGGTCTGGTTGCCTAGGTCAGGGAAAGGAGGAAGAGGCTGGGTCTGGTTGCCTAGGTCAGGGCGAGGAGGGCGAGGTTGGGTCTAGTTGCCTAGATCAGGATGAGGAGGACTGGGTTGGGTCTGGTTGCCTAGGTCAGGGAGAGGAGGTCTAGGTTGGGTCTGGTTGCCTAGGTCAGGGAAAGGAGGAAGAGGCTGGGTCTGGTTGCCTAGGTCAGGGCGAGGAGGGCGAGGTTGGGTCTGGTTGCCTAGATCAGGATGAGGAGGACTGGGTTGGGTCTGGTTGCCTAGATCAGGATGAGGAGGACTGGGTTGGGTCTGGTTGCCTAGGTCAGGGAGGGGAGGGCGAGGCTGGGTCTGGTTGCCCAGGTCAGGGAGGGGAGGGCGAGGCTGGGTCTGGTTGCCTAGATCTGGTTGAGGAAGATAAGGCTGGGTCTGGTTGCCATGGTCAGAGCAATTGGGACGAGGTTGTGTTTCATTGCCTTGGTCAGTACAAGGTGGATGGTGTTGTGTCTGGTTACCTCCACCATGGGGTGGACTGTGTTGGTGTTGTGGTGGTGGATGGTGAGAAGGGGAGTGTCTGCCTCCATCGTGGGGTGGTCTTGGGTAAAGGGTTCCCTCTTGACTTTCACTTCCAGCAGAGGTTCCAAGTGGGTGTCTTCCAGGAGGAGATCTCAAAAGTATGTACTCGTCTTGATCTTCAGACTCTGTGTAAAGATGAAATATGGTGCAGAATATATGAAACTAATTGTGGAAGACTTCCCTTTGTATTTCTCTGATGCCATCATACATTACCTGTCTAGAACATTTTCTCAGCAGCCAACTACTATCATGTCTACTTCTTGGTCTTGAATATTGTTCAATGTGGTGATGATTTGCTAAAATCTGTATCTAAGAACCTTAAATTTATTCAAAATTGAAATGTTAGATTATATGATTTATAATTCCTGGAAAGAAAGTGGGCAAAGACTTCCAATGAAGCCTAGTCTCAGTACTTGAGCCATGGATTGAAATTAAAGCTAGTTATTCAAAGATCTAAAAATGCACAGAAATACACAGAATGAACAAAGATAGAAAAGAGAAATTTCCCCCAGCATGTTCTCTTAATATTCACACTGAATATTGTTCCATACCATCAGGAATGCAGTTGGTTAGAAAAAGAGGGCATGGGAAGGAATTTCTTTTCATTTTTAAAAATAAAACCTTGTCATTCTTGAGGGGAATACTGAGGAAGAATGAAGCAGTTTAACAAGTCTTAGTGATGTAGAAATGTAAAAGTAAGGACACTTTGCATTTAGGAACCATCTTTCAGCAGTTATTTCTCCTTTGGGAACCAGGAGAACTGTTATTTAAATTGGTGGTTTCCAGAAGTTGGGGTAAAGAAGATTTGTCTAAATTATTAAAGTTAACATTCAGTAGTTACTAAAAAAGTTTAAATGATTATAATATGATTTTTGAGAATGTGAAAAACTTCTAAGAAGAGTACAGAGTACTCATAAGAGTAGGAAGGAAGTACCATTGCAATTGATTTCTATGAAATAATATGCACTTTATCACTAATTTCATTGAAATTATGTACTGGATTTTTTAAAAGAAATGAAATTGTAAGAAAACTTAAGTATCATTCTTTTTTTCAACTCAAAAACATCTGGTAAGGAGTTTTGACTTGCATTCACAACCTGTATGATCTTGTCAGCCACACTCTGAAATGTACTCAAAAGGTCAGAAGATACAAAAGAACAACAGTGTGAAGGACAAAGTGGATCTCAACCAACTGCCTAAAGAAAGAGCAAACCTTTACCTCCTATAATCCCTCCAAACTTACTGCTAGCATTTTGTATATTTATTTCAAGGCCAAATTTTACTGTATCATTACCCATTTTCTTCATCATTTCCTTTACTTACATTAGTAATTTTTCCCAAGAAGAAAATAAAAAAATAAACATCTATACCACGTCAACTGTGCTACTATAGCACACTAAAATTCTGATTGGGAATAAGAATAAAACCCACCCCTAGGCAAAGAGTTACAGGCAATGAATGGTTGCTGAGGAATGAAGAGTCAGCTTTCTCTAAAGTAAATGCCTTTATGCAATGGTAAGCCCTAAAGCCATCTGCAATGTTCCATAGACTTGTTTGTGTTTGTGTGCGTGTATATGTGTTTAACACTAATAAAGAAGTCACGGATTTGAGAAAGAGTAGAGGAGAAACACGAGAGGAATTGGAGGGAGCAGGGAAGGAATGGAAACAATATAAATAGAGTATGCATGTATGAAACCCACTCCCCTATTTTTAAATTAAAAATGAGCAAATTGGGTCTTAATGTGTCTATTTTTATGTATAAAGGGTCAGGCTCGCTCTCTGATTCTCTGCCTCTCTAGCAGTTTTGTTGTATATTTATCTCCTCCATCTGTTCTGATCCCATTTTATAACAAGACTTTCTCCCCAGTATATATAATTCTTTGATATTAATATTGGTGTCCTCCATTGCCCTCTCTGTTTCTTACAGACAAAAATCCACTCCCAACCCCTTTTCTTATACCTTCACTTGAGCTCTGAGCTGAGCTCAGGGCCAGCAAGGCCACTGTCAGCAGGACCACAAGCATCTTGGAGGAGGCTCTGGAGTTTCTTTCAGGTCTGTGTTAGAGAGAACAAAACAGTGGCCGTTCTCCTTATAGGGAGGAGCAGAACAATGGTACTTTTGAGTCCCCTACGGAGTGATTTCACACCTGAAAAACAGGATACCTTGCATCCATGACTTCTCCTGTGACTTGATCCATAAAATAGGAAGGGAAGAAAAATTGTTATTGTTTTATTTATAAAAGATATAATGTGTGGCTTGAATAACACTGTTGAAGGAGTATTGGGTGAGATACTAGCACACATATTCAAAGTAAAGTCTCGATATAATTTGAACTTCAGTCTGTTTGTTGATACTCTGTTCTTCAAATGTGAGTTGTGGGGAAGAAACATTAGTCAACAGCATTTTCCTGTCACAAATGGAAGACAACAGATGCTTCAGACGCTCGTTATAGCCCAGATTCCATAAGTCATAATGTATGTGGCCAGTGTCCATGATATTTCATCACAATTTTAATTAGTACAAGAGTCATTATAGTTCAGGTATGGAATTCACTAGGATATCACACTTGAAGACATGGTAAATGATGGTAGACACACTTCTACCCTATTTCTTCACTGTTATCCAAAATATCCAGGGCTCTATCCCAGATCAGTGAAATCTTGGTGATACAGACCATTGGCATTGTATAGTACTCTAACTTATTAATATCCATGGAATTTGGTAGCTGAAATAGCTACAGATACCACCAATGGGCTTCCATGGAAGTCCATTTTCTTTTACAAATAGCAGTATTTCAAATTTCTAATACTTCAGTGTCCTCCCATTTATGATACTATGCTATATACATTTTAGGTCCTATTACTTCTAGGAAATGCTTTAAACAAGCACCACTCATAGTAATCACAATTATGCAGATGAACAAGGTGGCCTGTTACCTTCTTTAAAGTCCAACTTGCCTTTAATTGGTGATCTCATTTACAGAAATATTCCATGCTATTGTCTTAAATTGGCCTGTGATGAGAAATTCTCTCAGAAATATCCTGAAATGTGTTCCCTCCCTCCCTTGTGATACTGCCTCATCAATATGCAGTGTTCTGACTGTTCCTTCCTGTGCTGTCATCTGATTCTCAGCATTTTTTTCACATGCATCTTCTAGAGAATTCCTTTAATCAGAAGTTTCCTTACTTATCATCTCATTAATAAAGACCTGGCACTGAAACCCAAAGTGAATTACAATGTAGCATTTGGGCCTTGATTTCTCAAGCTTCGTAATCTTCATATCAACCCCACCATGCTTAGGAGCAGTGGCAGCAGTTTTTCAAGACCCAGATATTATAATTCCATCAGGACACATAGGAAGTACTGGGATAAAAATGTGTCCAGAAGTGGTTTTTCACCCAAGTAAGGTTGGTTATTGATTTTGAGTCACAGGTATGAATTTAATTCCTTGCTCAGCCTCCCAGAAGGTTTTGTTCTTGGTGTGACGCAGAATCGAGGAAATGGTCAGGTGATTCTTTACTCTCAAACTATCAGACTGTCAGCAATGTAGCTAATATGTTAAGGAATAGAATGCATGAAGTTTTCAAAGCTTATAAGCCAATGCCTCTATCTCTATCATTTCATTTAAATAGCACATAGTCAAAGAGTATCTGACTATGAGAGAAATGTCCGCACAAGACACTCATGATGGGGCTATGATCCTTTACTTTCATAACCCTGAAATATAACACACAAATGTTTGTTATTTATAAAGTACTCTGTCTTTCCTTCTTCTTATTTAACCTAAGATGAGCTGGGCAAAAAGTGTTGCTAATAAGTAGAATGTAAATCTATTTCTTTTAACATAGACAAGTTTTTCAAAAGAGATAGTGGTTAGAAGCGTTTGGGAGAAAATATGCGTTTATACTGCCAGAACTCACAAGCCAGTTGCAGTGTTTTTACCCGAACAATACTCAGTCTAGTGGATATTTATTAGAATTAAGAAGCTGACATATATTCTAATTTACAACATGCTATCTATGTAATGTTGTACATTTTCAAGCTAAAAGATGGAGGAGTTGCATAATGTTCTTTGGTGAAAAATTCTAGCTCTCAAAGGAAATCAGCAAATGAATATGGGAGTTATTCACTAATCCCTTGAGCAAAATCTCTCTCTTAAAATCATCTGTCTGATTTTTGAGTAGTTTTATAAACTATTTGTGAGTGGTGTCATAATTTGGAAAGTTATTTGAGAGAAGATTTGACTGTGTTCCTCTCTAAGAACTCATCAGAAGAATAATCAAAAATTCATAACCCACCGGACATCTTAAAGCTCTAGTGTCCTAAGAGTCTAATAACTTCTCTAAAGAGAAAGGGAACAACACAATCTTACCTAGATCTAACCTTCTGAAGATGCGACTTCCTCAAGGCATGAGAGACTACACATAAAAATGAATGAAATAATTGGACAGAATATACAAATACATTCTCAAATAGATATCTTTTTACTGACCTTGTTATATGCTATACATTGACATCTACTGAAATTAGATGAATCAAAGACCATCAAACAGCTGGGCATAGTGGTACATACCTATAATCCCAGAACACAGGAAGGGAAGGCAGGAGGATTGCAAGGATCAGACTACATAGCAAGTTCAAGACCAGCTTGAATGACAAAACAAGATCCTCTCTGAAAAAAGAATAGAAGAAAAGGAAAAACAGGAGGGTGAGGAAAGATAAGATAAGCAGGGGTAGGATGCCATGGATATGGAAGAGCAACAAAAGTTATTAAAGAGCAAAACATTTCAGTTTGAGGTGAAATCACATGTCTTAAATCCCAGCACTTGGAAGACAACAGCAGTTTGTCAGCCTTGCCTACACATGAGTTCCAGACCAATTAGGGACATCTGAATCAAATCCCTTACTCCAAGGTTCAAACCATCATGCTATTAGGAGGAACGGCTGGAAGAGTCAGATGGAGCAGATGTCTGTAATGAAATAGCACTTGCTAGAATTGATAGGAAAGTTCCATAATACAACTTACAGGGGTTATCACTTCATACCTCAGGCCTTCATAAGATCAAGCCAGTCAAAATCAGAATATGACTGAGGGGAAAACATATGAAGTTCTACCACTATCTGACTAGTTATTGGCTATTGGTGACTGCTCTTATGGAGAAGGACTGTAAGTTTTATTCAGGGATTCAGCGTCTGGGCCCTGAGAGGTTGCCCATGCAGCAGTAGATGCCCCACACCTGTGCACATACAGCCAGACTAAACAGACTCAGTTGGTGTTTTTGAAAAATGGCAGGGAGGGTACATGAAGTTCGGAGGAAGAAAAAAGGATTGTTAGGAGGACAGGGAAGGAATTGGAGGTTTAGATTTGATCCTGATACTTCATATGCATATGTGAATGTTAAATAAACTAGTAATAATAGTCCATTAACATCAGATTTAAAAAACATTAAATAGAATTATTAAATGCTAATATACTTACCCAGTAACAATCATTTAACAGGCATGATTCTCAAAACTAGATTGCTTTTGTACTTTTAAGATGGTCTGAATCTTCTAATGTCTGTACTATCTTTGGACCAAGAAATATAGTACCCATAAGCCTGGTGAATATGATATAAAAAACACAATTATTATATGTTAATTTTATTTGTTAAATTATTAAGAAATTACTTTTATAACTTACCTGTTAAGGCTTAGGAAATATTTCTACCTTTAAAATATAACCTATTATAATTAATTCATTTTCTGAACCTCATCATGTCTCACTTTCTTATGTAAATATAAACAATAAACAGAAAGGCAGTGTACCATAGCAAGGAGAATGCAAGTCCTGGAACTTGTGATACTTAGACTACCAATTTCCTTTCTAGGAGACTTGGCTGATGCCTCTGTCCTCTTATATACAAAACTGATACTGAAAATAATTATTGCTATATTTGCAATGGGGTAGACCTGAAGGTTAAATTACTTGAGGTTAGCAATTAATAGATACTACCTCCCATGGTGAAATATGGTCAGGTGGTCGCTTGGTATGTTGGCTGCACCAGAGTAATAGAGTAGGTATTAAGTGAGTAGCCATATTTAGAATGTATTTGAAACAGAGACCTAACTCAGTTTGATAATTGTGTCTGAACAATTAGGCAATATAAATTGCCTTAACTGAGTGAATATTTGACAGGCTTCAGACTGATTCTCTCCTAGATCAGATCCTATGTGTAAGCTGCAATCATGTCACCTCACAGTAGGACTGGACGTAGAAGCATGAACCTTAAAGATGTGATTGCATCATAAAGAGGTTGTTAGCCTGGGATCCAGGAGAATTTGAATGTGGCTGTACCCTTAAAGAAGAAGATATGTGAGCACGTAGGGAGATACCAGGGTTAAATGGCCATAAGAAAAACCCTATGTGAATACCCAACAGTGAGGCTATTATCTAGAATCCAAGAAGAGGCATCTTGAGAAAATAAATACATGGCCAGTAATGTTAGGCTTTTGACTTTGAAAGATGTGACATAAATTTCTGTGGTTAATTCTACCCAGTCAGTGTATTTTGTTTTAGATACAGCAAATTGGAAAGAATGAGAGCAGGAATTGAAGTTTGGAAAGTGTTAAGTGTATGTTTCAAGCATGTTTGCTCAAGGTTGCCCTCACCTACACAAACCTTTATGACCTGCTACAGTCGGCTTCATTTTACTCCACCTTTCCTGAAGGTGTCTTCAGTCAGTTCCTCTAGAACTTGTTTCATTTTATTTGATGAGTTTCTAGGTGATATTTTTCTTTCATGATACACAAATTTCTTTCACACATGCTGACACTGGAAAAGGTCAGAGGAAAAGGCACCAGCTAGGTGACATTTGTTAGAATCAGAGACTGTTCCAGACTCACCAAGCCAAAGACAAGGGGACGTTCCCAAGGACTGCAGTTCTTCATTGACTGACTTCATTGACCCGAGTTTCCCTTTCTATTTATTCCTCTTGCACCTTCATTTCCCCCCTTAGTGTCCACCAGATGGTTTGCTTCCCA